CTTTGTGCTGTTGATCTTTCTAATACCTTTTCTAAAAGGCTCTTAGATCTTACTTGATATATATTTCCTTCCATATTAATTGTTGTTGTTTTATTCATCAGTTGGTTTAATATAGCTGTCTTTATGTTATGTGCTTGCTCTGATAAACTATTTCTATACATATGCTTGTTTGTTTATCTTACTTGTTTTGTTGTATTTTCTGTATAACCTAATTGATCTGCACAACATGATCACAAGGATTCCCTAAAATTTACAAAAAATTTTTGTTTTTGTCAAAAAAACTTTTTATTTTTCCAAGCTCTGCTACCTCTAAGCTTTCCTCTTTGTATTTTGTTCTTTAGCTAGGTATAACTTTTGGAGCTCTTTCTTTTTTACTAAGGGTCTCAGTATTGCTTTTTAGTATATTTTGCAATTTTTTCTATATTTTGCTTCTCACTGATTTTTGATTGAGAGATCTACAGAAGAGAGTTGTTTAGTTTTATTATTAATTTTTTAAATTTTTTGTAAAATAACAAATTCTTTTAAAATTATTTTATTTTTTTACAATATTGTGAAGATATTTTATTTTAAAATAATTTTTGTTAATTGCAGTTATTTCAAAAGATTTTTGATATGCAAAATCTTTTACAATATTTAACATATTTATTCTGCTAATGTTGTATTATAATAATATTTTTAAGACTATATCTATTCAAAATTTCTAATATTTTCAAAGCTCTTAGAACTACTTTATCTTTACTAAAAAATTTACTAGAACCTTTTATGTTTTATATATAGCTAATTTAGTTTTATACAACTTGCTATAGTTTTTTAATATTTGTAATTATAGAAGTTACTTGTTTAACTGCTATATTTTACTATTTTTATTTTAGTAAAGTTTACTAAAATCTTAGTATTTATTTTTTTGTTTTTTTTGTTATTTTCTATTAACTGCTACTTAAAACTAACAGGACTCTTTAAACTTCTAATTCAAATAGTATAATATAATATATTTCAATATTTTTTTTCTTTATCAAATCTAACAGCCTAATTGGTTATATACTTCTTTATACATTTGTTATCTGGTTTATTCTGCTTGTTTCTTTGAGAGTATTTTATAAGCTTTTATTAGTTTGATAGTATTGTCAAAAGTTTATATTATTTCTTTATTTAAGAATTTTTAAATAAACTTTTAACTTTTTAGTTTTTTTACTTTTTGTATTTAATAGTTTTATTATAAATTTGTACTAAAGGTTTATATAATATTAGTTATAATATTTCTTTATATATATATAATGTTACATTTTACATAAATATTCTAAACTTCTATTCAAGATAATGCAACTAAAAGTTACAAATATACTCATTCAACTAATTAACAAAAAACAGATTGCTGTAATATAGGTATAATTTTCAAATTTCATCATAGATAGAATTTGAACATTAAATTTGCTACTTAAAAAATAACAATCTATCTATTATACTAAGATCATTATCTTCTGTCTTTACTAATTTTATATATTATCAATATCTATTATACTTATTTCTAACTTTACTTTAACTACAATCTTTAAAGCAAATAAAAAAACTAACAAGCTTAATCAAATATTTTCTAGTAACTTATTATATAACTTGTTTAATTTTTATATTAATAATTTAATAATTAATATAAATACTAATAATTGTATTATAGATATTAATTAGGTTTAAGTAGATTACAATAATTATATATAAGTTTTCTGTTAAAAATTAAATAATTCAAAAAGTATAAATATATATCAAATACTTTAAATAGGTTTAATTCTGAAAATGTTTTTATAATACAAAATAAATTATATATATAGAAAATTTAAATAAGCAAACCTTATAATTGACTTGCAAATATAATATCTAATATAAAATCTGCATAATAATATATAAATGGTTTATTTAAATTAAACATCAAAAATACATATATAATTAGTTGTAACTTTCTATATAAAAAAGTTCTAAAAACATTCATGTCTATATAACTTAAATAAAAAATCATTTTTCAAAAATAAAAACTTTACCAAAAAAAAATTTATAAAAAGTTGTGCTTTTATAAAAAATTTTGTATTATATATTTATAATATATAATTTAATTTAAAATAAGTATATTTTATAAAAAAAAAATTTATATAATGTAATAATTATAAAAAAAAATTAACTATAATTATTTCTAAAATGTAAAAAAAATCCAAACAAATTTGTTAGCAAATTTGTTTACATATCTGCCATAAAAGTAATTTTTTTTATTATAAAATTTATAAGACATCAACCTAAATTTTTAAAAATATTCAAGTATACTTTAATTCTCTTTTTTTTTTTTTTTTTAAGACAAATTATAAATTTTTTTCAGTTGTTGATTAGTAAAAAGACCTGAATAAAAAAAAGAGCATGTAATATTACTTTTGTGAAAAGGTAATCTTTTCAATTATATTCTAGTAAATGTGAATGTCTTTGCTAAGTGTGAAGTTTTTTTTAATAATATTGAATCTAAACCTTTTTATAAAGCAAAAGAGTTTCACCCTGTCTAGTTAATCGATCTAGAACATTTTCAAACCCTTGCTTTCCCATAGCCGCATTATCTCTAAATCTTTGAATAAAAAAATCCTCAATATAATTTGCAAATCGTGAAATAGACTCGCCGCATTTAATACGAGCTTCTTGTTTAAATAATGTCCTACATTTTTAATTTGTCAGTAAATAGAAATCAAGGCATTAAAATAGCTATTTTAAATTTCATTTCTTACTTTGACGAATCTGAGGGATCTTCCGTGTATGTGACAGTTTCTGACACGTTAATCAAGTTATTCATAGATAGGTTACAACTGGTCATCTTTAGCACCTTGTTTTTTGGGTCAATCTCACTGACCTCCCTTGCGTAGATCACTGTGTTACCTCCACACAACCTGCTTAATAACCCTGGTACATTTTGTCGACATGTTATTAATCTTTCCGTTCGAAGTATACCAGTTTCCGGGTCCACATGTCTGTTTAATACGTCGATAGCGATAACATGCGGACATTTTTCATTTGGATATTTACACCAATTCGCGGCTGAAACGTGAGACCAATTGTAAAAAAAGGTGTGTGTGGATTCAAAGAGCTTCATAATGTAACTTTAACAGTTTAAAGATCGTAAGGTGTTACTGTTTGAAAGAATCATGTTAATTCAATTAGAAAGCTTGTAACCGTTTTTCTATCTTTGTTTTGGGATAATATAAAAAGTATGTAAAGCTTACATTTTTAAAGGTTAAAGCTGATGACCAATCTCTCGATCAAACGAAAAGAAGCAGAAGACCAAAATTACTAATATTCGATAGTCGAATCAGCATAAAAAAAAAAAAAAAAAAAATACACATGCAGCTTTTTTTTTTTTTATTAAGTCTGACCGTGAGGCTTAAAGAAATTGGTAATGATCACCTTGGTAAATCATAATTTTAATGTTTATAGATCTGTTTCTCTAATTAACGTTAACCGTTTTTTTTTACGTACACGAAAAATGGATACACAAGATGTTCTCAGAATGGAAAACCATTTGATTTTTAATATTTTTAGTGGTTCACAAAAATTTGTGGCATAATGAATTTCTATTTCTCACTTGTCGAATGATCATCCTTGCTATAAGACACGTGGCGGAGGCTTGGTTCTTTCCACTCTTATTGGAACATATTTATATATACTGCTCGTTTAGCAACGCGTCTTTATAATTCGCTTTTCAATTTCTTTCTCTAAATTTTCTTACATTCTTTCAAATACCTGTAAATTTAAATTCTATTTGTTTGCTTGATTAGAGAAGTATGAATTCTATTTCACTTTATGTTCTTCCCTCTCGGAGAAAGCGCGAGCACTCTGTTGAAGTGGAAATAGATCAGTTGGAAACTGAGCGAGCTAAACGCCGTTACGTTTCTGAGTTCTTATCTTCTGAACTAACAGCCTTAAGCCTTCATAACAACGAAGAAGGTCTGTTCTGAGTTAAGAATCTATTGCAGTAGACTTAGTCTCATTCTGATGCCTTTCTTCAACTAGACCCTTCTGTTACTAATGTTCAGCAAATGGATATAATTGATTTAGATGCTAATCTACTGAGAAATAAGTCACCGTCGAGTCGAAAACATGTTGTTATGGTTACTGATCTTGATGCTGATGAATCTGAAGATTCCGAAGGAAAAAGTGATGTGAAGGATGAATGTTCCTCTTCCATTACTAATTCTATTACAATGCCTCATGAAATTCGAAGATCATTAAAGAAGATATCGTATGAATTGTTACTCCCGAGGACGTGCGCATTTTTAACGGATAATCTCGTAAATCAATGTGTTGAATTATTCAATTCAACCTATAAAAATTGATCTTAGCATCCTTTCTAAACGAACAAAAAACATACCATTTATGCAGGGACAATCCAGTTCGGGCATTAGTCTTATATCAACGTCCTCCATGGTTGCCAACTGAACCTTCTAATTCGGTAAAATTATCTTTTATTTAGTACTACATTACCTTGATTTAGTATTTATTGTCAATGTTATATTCACTATAAGGAGCCAAAAGGAACAATCCCTCGAAAAAATAAGGAAGCCGTACATGAACGTCGTATTTCTGAAATTATGGATAACGGTAAACTGTCTCCCATTCCTGAGGATCCTGTGATCGACTCAGAAGAAATGGATTTAGACCTTGATGTCGAAAATAACAGAATTTCTTATGATGGGTATTTGGGTGACGATGATGAAGATGGTGTTGAAGAAATGGAATTGTAATTATCATTTCTCATAAAAGTAATTTCTTTCAGGTAATATTTTTTCAATTTACATTTAAGTAGTTTTTTTTTCTCCTATGAATTACTATCCGGCTTTTTTGTTTTATGATTATATCTTGCTGACACTTACAAATTGTGAGATAAAGCAGATATCAGTTAAAAATCTTGACACCGTTATTATTAATTAACCTCTCGAGATGGTATATTTTAAATCTAACCAACTTATTCGGATATTATGCCTTTCTATTTTGTATTTTTTATTTTCGTGATTAACAAATAATTTCGACAATAGGATTAATTAATAAGAATAAAAATTGTACTAATATGCATAAGGCTCGATCACTCAAAATTTAAGCATTTTATATCATTTTAAGAGTTGTCCTACTTTACTTAGGTTTCAGCAGTTGATTTAATCGATATTAATTAGTACTAAAATCATTGTTCAATTTGGTGGGCTTTGAGATATCACAACAAATTCACAGGTTTCTCTTGGTGAGACTTACATGGAATTGTTATATCAACCGATTAGCATATTTTTTCTGTTTTGATTAGTGAAATTTAGCAGTTTCTAAAGAAACATTGCATGAATTTGGATAAAATTCAAAGTTTAGTAGTCCAGATTTAGGGTGCATTTTAGTGAAATTTAACAGTCACGTGAATAATGATTATATCGATATTAACCCTCAAACATTGTTTTCAAACTATCTAGTTTTTATAATTTTTAGTTTTCAAAACATTATTTTTAAATTATATAGTTTTATAAGTTTTATAATTTTTTTAGTTAAAGTTTATTTAGAACTAGAAGTAAAATGGACATTGACGACGTAGATCGTACACCTGATGCAGAGATCGCTAGAATGTTCAGAGTATGGAAAACCGCGCATCAAATGGTGATCGATAGAGTGAGTTGATTCACTTTATGCCAGAGACCAAGAAATGAACTTTGAAAGAAGGAATACCAAAAGCTCACCCTTACAATTACCTGGGTTGGTTTGGTAGGGCTATGTAATTAATAGCGACGCATATAATGATATCGAGAATTTTAAAGAAAGGTGTTTAAAGAACGGTGTATTACAGTAAATGTCTATTTATGATAGATCCTTAAAATGTATTATTGAGTCAAATCTATTCATTATTCACGTATAACTTAATGATTATTAGCAAAGAATCGATGATGTTTCAAGTACAAAAAAATGATAATCCAAATGAACAACTTCTTGTTGTGTTTCCTGATGATAAGCCTGTAGGTGTAAAAACTCTTAAAGCGTGAGTGTTAGTCTAAATCGAAATCAGAATTATCTCAGCTTGAAATTGATATTAAATAGATGTGTACTATGAATCTGAGATCGAAATGGGACAATGTATTTTAATAACATTTGATTTTGATTGAAAACATTTTAGTTTATGCCAGCGAATGTTAGATACAAAAGTTTCCAGAGGTATTGTCGTTTTTTCAGGCACAATGACAGCTGCAGCTAATAAGGTAATCGAAATCTATTATATCATTTTTTATATAAGCTAGAGTTAATTATTAACATGAAATTAAAATGTTTGGATTAGGCGATTCAAGTGATTAACACCAAAGAAAACAGATCGTATGAGATTGACACGTTTTCAGAAGCGGATTTGATGGTTAACATTACTCATCATCTGTTGGTGCCGAAGCATTATGTACTAAGCGAGGAAGAAAAGAAGACTCTATTAAATAAATAGTAAGAATTGTGATATAAATAATACAGTGTATATATAGATATTTTTTTTGTTCCTTTCTATAAAATAATTAAAATTTCTGAAATAGTCGATTAAAAGAAACGCAATTGCCGCGTATTCAAACGACAGATCCGGTTGCAAAATATTACGGATTGAAGAGGGGGCAGGTTAGTGATATTTTATTTCAGGAGGCTTTATTTATTGTGCGGCTGAAGTTTTAAATTTTAATTATTTTAATATGAAATTTTTGGAAATTTTTGATGTGCATTTTTTTTAGTTTTTTTTTTTTTTTAAATAGTTAGATTAGGGTTTAGAGTTAATTTTGATAATAAATGGGGTTTATATTTTAAATCGAGGTCACTGATTTCAAGCTTCAGCCGCGACATTTATTATTAAACACAAAAACTGAACGGTTTTGTTAATAGGTGGTTAAGATTATAAGATCATCCGAGACCAGTGGACGTTACGTAACTTACCGTCTTTGTTTCTAAAAGTGCTTAGATTCGAATGTTCGGATAGGCATCCTATTTTAAAATTCTTTAATCCGATTTATGAATTGATGTTTATTCAGTTATCCGATCTAGTCCCGTTTATATTCGATTAATGTTATGCATTTAATGATGCATTTTATAGGTTTTTTTAATAAACGAACATAACGTAACCGTTTATATAGTCTACTTAATTAATTGAAAAGAAGCACGAATGACATAGAACACCTATCATCATAGTGTTGACTTGTGTTCTTATTTGTTGTCTCTTTTCTCATATTTTTGCTGACACTTGTGCAATTTAGTCGTCTTATATTAAAAAGTATAACCGAAATTTCCAAAATTCGTTATGTCTAATAGTTTCGTTATATTGAGGTTATATTGTACGTACCTAGTGATTCAACCGGCAGGCTCTGCACTAGCGTTCCAAATCGTTTGTTGAAAAATTGATTAGTTGTCAACTTTCCAACTAATCGATTTGAAAATTTTTAAACAACTAATCGATTTCAATTAGTACAATTCCGAGATATTCCGTCTTCCAGGAGCAACCGTCCTCGGTTAAGCATAGAGGGCTTTCATTGTAATTGGCTAATTTTCGTACAGTACCGGACAGTGAAAAATATCCACTTTTCATATATAAAATATAAAAATGCTTATTAAATTTTTTAAAAAAACGGTCTCACAGATTTGATATTTTTAGACTAAACTACAATTCTGTTAAAATAGCTTTTTATTTTTACGTATTATAAATTAAAGTCATTAAAGCTTAAAAATTTATTTGTAATTATATAAAATTTGACGTTTAATATAAAAAAAAATTGATATATTTTTAACCAATCATATTTGGCGCTTTTAAAAAACATATTGCAGATCACTAATTGAATTTTATAATACCGATACAAGATTTTTTTTTTTTTATGCTAAGGTGAGTATTTGCGACTTAGAATTAATATTGGATTTTTGTTATCATTAAAATTTATAAGAAAATATACTTTATGCAAAAGAATAAACTAGAAAATAGGGGATGGCGATCTTATTGTAATGGTTGGGTGGTTATTTTTCAAGTGGTAGGTCTAATGTTCAAATTCTATTTTTGATGAAATTTAGAAATTACATTTGTGTTATAGTAACTGTTTTTTGTCAATTAGTTGGTCTTATATAATTGTAACTCAGGTATACCAAATCAAGTAATTTGAAAGTTCAAAATATTTATATAAAGCATAACATTACTTGTATAGAGAAGAAAGTTTACTAATGTTATATAAGGTTTCATTATAAATCTGTAATAGAGTTACTTGGTATAGAATACTAAAAAACTGAAAAGATATAAATTTATTTGAAAATTCTCAAATAAAAAAATAGTATAAAATTTTAATAATATTATTAGACTGATTGAAATTTATAAACTACTTTTAAAAGAACAAACTGGATAAATCAAATATTAAATATATGTAGAAAAGATATAACTAATTAGGTTATCAAATTCATTAGAAAAAAAAATACAAAAGTATACTACATTAGATTATCTGAATTGATAGTTTGGTTAAAGTCTGTTAGTTTTAAGTTGTAATTAGTAAAGAATAATATAAAAAATATCAAAAAAATAAGTATTAGGTTTTTAATAAGAATGAAATAATATAATAGTAACAGTTTAACAAATAATTATAAGAAGGTATAGTGACTTAGTAAAGTAGATAATTTGTTAACTTTTTAAGTGATAGGTTGGGTATTTAAATCCTATTGATAATAAAAATTTAGATAATTATTTATAAAATATTTATATTATAATAACTGTTTCTAAAAATTGTATTAAAATACTTGTAATGTTAGTCACACTAGTATAACTGACAGGTTATAAGGTATCTGTATAAATATAACATTATACAGAGAAATACAAACCAGTATCAAATAATACAAACTTTAAATAAGTTTTTATAACTATATAAATCTATTAAAATTAGAAAACAAAAAGTTTATTTGAGAAGACCTAAGTAGAAAGATAGTATAAATCTTTGATAGTATTATTATAAAGACTAGTTTTAAAAAACAGATACTAATATTAAAATAACCAGACAGATAAAAACTTTTGAGTAAGAAATAACACCAACTAGGCTGCTAGAATGAATTGAAAAAAAAAGATATTAAGCTGATTTAATATATCAATAGACTGGTTGTAGTTCTATTGATCTATCTGAATTGGAAATTTGAAGAACAAATAAAAATATACTAAAGTAATTCAGATATGCTATAAAGTAAATACTAAAATTTGATTAAACTCTATAAAGACATAGTAGTTTAATGACTAGTCTTGATTGCAAGTATTGGTTCTGTCATAACAATACTGAGTTAGTTGTAAAAATAGATACAGAAGGTTCTGAAAATTTTATTTCAAAAATAAAATAGTCTAAATTTGAAATAATGATCTAATTATAACTTAGTGATATTAATACAGATGCAGATTTAGAGAGTTTAAAATAAAATATTTAAATAAAAATATTAAATATAACAATTGATAAAGAATCTTTGGGCAGACTCTTTAAATAGATAATATAGAAAAGTTATACATATAGTGTTACAAAGTAGATTTTTAGCATAGCATAGTATATTATATTATTAGTAGTTGTTATATATTCATTCTTGTATTTTA